ACATCACTGAGCCCTCCGCTCGATCGTCCTATTTTGACGTAGCCTTCTGCCTGTCAGCCCTTCTAGACGCAGCCCTTCGTTCGTCTACACTTTTTAACGTTGCCCTCGCTAATCTGCCTTTTTACATTTCCGCACTCGACTCATACCCTTTTATCGTAGCAACATTAGGCTCGTCCGCTCCTTTTTAGAGCAGCACTGGGCTCGTCTGCTATCTTTTTAGCGCCGTTGCTTCGCTTGTCGTATTTTCAGTCATCACTGCGCTCGTCTGCTCTGCTTAATCAAGTCCCAGCTTCCTCCTGCCTATTTCTAAGGCCGCGCCGTGCTCGTCTTCTTTTCCTCCTCGAGCCTCTGCTATATGTCCCCTTTTTCTCAGAACAGCTTAGCGCACGTCTACCCTCTTCGCCTAAACCTCGGCATCATCAGAATTTTTACTTGAGCCTCGCTTCTTTCGCAGTTTTTCTGAGGCCGCACTGTGGTTTATTATGATCATGGAAGAGCAAAAATCTTATGACCGTCGATTTCGGCTCTAAAAAAATTTTAAAAGTATCATGTTTTTCCCAAAAGAAGTTTTTTTCATTGTATTTGTTGTCGTTGACCCCGAATCTAAAGTCAAATTGCCAGTTTGACAGTTAGCAGTTGTCATGACAGCTGTGATGACAATTGACTTCAAACTCGCGTCCAGGAAACGCGAAAACAGTAGGGTGACTTTTTCTGTTTCCGCGTATCAAATTTTGTCGAACTTTCAAGTTGTCGAAACAATTTAATTTCAGATTCGTGTTCAGCGATGAAAAATACAATGGGAAACACATTTTCGAGATCGAAAAACAATTGTGGAGCGTACAATTGCCAGCGCGACCTTGCTGAAAGCGAAAAACTAAATTTCCTAGTTTTTGACTGTGAGCTCGAGAAAAAGTATCACACCGAACTTTGTAATCACCAAAATCGGAATCCTTTTTCATTCTAGGCCCTTCAAGGTAAAACTTGCTGCTTTCAACATTTTTTCAGAGCCAAAATCGACGGTGATAAGATTTTTGCTCATTTTAAATTCAAAATAAACCTCAATGGGCTTCCCCGTCTGCGACCGCCATTCTCTTTGGTCCCACTGCGTTCGTTTGTCCTCATGCCCCCCAGCTTCATTCCCCGTTTCGTTTATTCTTCTCAAAATTCGCACCTTCGCCACATCCACTACTCTCTCCGAGCAGCCTGGCACCTTTGGCTCATTACAGATCTTCTTTCGTATGTCGGTTTTTTAAACGATGAAATTACCATGCGGAACAGGGTAACGAGAGATTGATTTTAAAAAAAATTATGGAAATTTGTTTTTGGAATTTCTTTTCACCGAAAAGTGGCGACGACTTTTATAATTTTCAGTTTTTTATTATTTATAATTCTTAATTCAACTTAGAAAAATTGATGTACACACATTTACGCACTTTATGAAAAGCGTTTCGCTTCCCTGATTACGACTTAAAGTTCTAATGGGTTCTACAATAATCCTAACTATTTTGATAAATGTAGCTTTCTCGTTAGATTGATAATAATGTTTCAGAAATGCGCAATGTATTGTAGATCTAGTCTTCAGGATTGCAATATTATCTTTATAATTATTATGTGCTGGAAATAATTTCATGACTAATGATCGTTACTGAAATTCAAATTTCACTTACTTGATTCGAGGCGCCGAGTTGCTGCAAGCCATCGTAGCGACAGCATTTTTATTTACGTGCCACCTACTTGCCAAAACGCGTTTTTTCTCTAAGATTAAAAGCTCCTTCTATTATAGGCTCTATTAGAGTCTCACCCATAGTCTCAAATTCAGATGTCATACGATTCGCACGCGTGAGAAATGTTAGGATGCATTTCCTGTGTGTGACTAGTGTAAATCGTCTCGCACACGCGAATTGAGACTTTGTTCCAATTGTGATGACACATCAGGAGTGATTTTCCCACATGGGAGTTTTCAGCCGAGGGTTGTCAGTATTTATTTATTATTATTTTATTTCTTAATCTTAAAAAAACGTATAACCAAGCTAATTGAAAACACACTTTATGCCTCTACCTATTGATCTCAATGTTTTCAAACGCAAAAAAAAGCAATGATGTAGTAGCCGATCACAGCGATTTTCAGGATTAAATGAACATAATTCTTAAGTACGACAGCGAGTTTGAATTCGACGACCACGAATACTAAATAACCTATTTCGCAAAATAAACACAAAAGCTTTCACGTGCATCATTGTTATTAGTCAATCGGTATTGAACCGTTCTTATTATCGATACGCGTTCAATCAATGAATACGTATATCAGTATGTAGACATGGGAGCTCCGTGTTGCACGATTGGGTTGAGCAGCGCTTGCAATCGGCGGCGGCGCGCACCGCTGCCCCCCCCCCCCCCCCCCCTCAGTGCTCTGCGTTTGCCAACAAGCGCCCGTTCTTCTAAAGCTGTGCGCTGATTGGCCGATCTTTGAAGCTAATCATCTAATTACCTAATTATTTAATCGAAAAACTAAGAACACAATTCGAAATTAATTTTTCGAGACGAATCGAATGGAATTATTAGTTAGATATGTTTTTGAATCACCCTGTGTATACTTTTGTTCTGCCGAATAAACTATTTAGAGGGTGAAAGTTACCCCCGAAAGATACCCCTCAACACCATTGTATAGCAAAATTTTCGTATTTCACGCACAGACACAAACTCTACAAAATTCTTTTAAAAAATTTCAGCTAAATATATGGATTTCGTCTACAGGGGTTGCAACCTCCTAAGTCGCCTGAAAGAAAAGCTATGTTTTCAAATATTTTCTTGCAAAATTTTTTCAGAAGAAATGAAGTTTATGAAATTCCGTTCAAAATCTAACACAAAAGTATACAGTATCCGTCACCAGGGGCTGCTACTCTTCATTGGTGAGTGAACAGAGCATTCATTTGTTACCTTGATCCCCTACCACTCCGAACCCAATAACCCGTAACTCCTACACCCCAATTTCATCAACCCTCGAGCTGGTTACCCAGCCACGCTGTAACCCCAATCTCTTAGCCGCAATTTCCTTAACCCTTGAGCTGGTTACCCTGCCACGCTCTAACCCTAAACTCTTAATTCCAATTTCCTGAACCCTAGAGGTGGTTACCCTGCCACGCTCTAACCCCGAACTCCTACACCCGAATTTCATCATTCCTCGAGCTGGTTACCCTGCCATGCTGTAACCCCGAGCTCCTACATCCGAATTTCATCAATCCTCGAGCTGGTTACTCTGCCACGCTGTAACCCCGAACTCCTGCATTCCTATTTTCTGATATCCGGAACCCAGATCCCTGTCATTCATAATCCCGATTTCGAAATATTTATAGTATCTTCAAATAAAAGGACATATGCACATTTTTTGTAGAAGATAACGTTTACTTAATTACGTATATTTATGTATAGGTAGAAAATAGCAAATGCAACTACGAAATCATGCAAATTTTTGAAGTTCGAAATAGCCACGGGGAATTTCATTTTTAAATCATTATGTTCAACAAATATTACTACTATCCCTGAGGAAATTCGATTATTATGTTATTACGAAAAAAGTCATTAGACAAACTAATTTTACCATACTAATAGGTATATGTACGTATTTCGCGAGGCAGTTTTAGCCAGTATAAAAATACTGACATGAGATAATGTTACTCTTATGTCCCACCTTAAACACACTCGAGTATGTGCGTGGCAAAACAAAATCAAACTGTGGCATGACGTGGAAACCACAATCAACGAATGCGGTTCATGTGGTTCAAATAACAAGATTGGAACTATAACTGTTTTTTTCTTTGATAGAAACCACAATCAACGAATGCGGTTCATGTGGTTCAAATAGCAAGATTGGAACTGCAACTGTTTTTTTTCCTTGATAGAAACCATAATCAACGAATGCGGTTCATGTGGTTCAAATAGTAAGATTGGAACTGTAACTGTTTTTTTCCTTGATAGAAATCGTAATCGTTGACGTATGTGATAAGCCAAGATCTAACAGTGGAGGAACCTCGGGTACCTTAATTTGATATTGGTTTGTGTGGTGCCAACTTCAAAACATGTTTTGTTCACTTACAGTATATAAACATATTCGATCAGCATACTTCAGTAAATTAGTAATAGAACTTTGCTTGACATCTACGTTTTTGAATATTAAAATTGTGTTAGAATCGCAATTGAAATTGATTTCTTCACCGTAAATATTTATATATATATATTTATATATATATTTATATTTATATTTATATATTTCTACCCCCTGGTAAATAAGACTTTTTTACACACATTGTTATGGAATCCGTAAAGCTTGCCACGCCCACATTGAATAGTTCTGCAAAAAATGTAAAGATAACTAACCCTGTTCCTTGGTAGGACGATGAATGCGATAAAGTCAAAAGATTGCGCCGTGCATCATACAAAAAGTGGAGGATGTATCCGAAACTAGACAATCTCATTTTGTATAGAAAACACGCGGCTCTCGCTAGACGTACGTTTAAAAAGAAAAAAAAGGAATGTTTCAGGAATTTTGCCGAGACTATAAATTTCCACACTAGCCAAAATTATGTTTGGAATAAAAGCAAAGTTTTAAAAAATAAGTGGGTGAAAATTTCCAATAATAGTTCAAACAAAAAACCTTGGACAAAATATGTTCTCCATATCGCCCAATCAACCCAAGCTTCATTCCAAAATGTAATGATAACGAATTTTTAGATGCTTACTTTGATTTTATGGAGCTAAATATTGCACTCGATGACAAAAATACGAAATCCTCTTGTGGCATAGATGGGCTAGATTTTGAAATTCTCCAGAAACTTCCAGTCAAATTTAAACTCCTTCTTGTCGACATCTTCAATCAAATGTATCAGTTTAATGACTTCCCCGCCTCATGGAAAGACTCCTTTATTCATTTCATACCCAAGAGCAATGACAAAAACGTCCGCCCTATATCGTTAACTTCTTGCGTATGCAAGCTTTTCGAAACAATGGTAAAAAATAGACTCCAATGGTGGGCTGAGCAAAATAATCTTCTTCCTGCTAGTCAACACGGCTTTCGTAAAGGACATTCGTGCTCGGACAACCTGTCAAATCTAACCCTCAAAGTCGAAGAAGCTTTCGTAGAGAAAAAAGAAGTTTTAGCCGCCTTCTTAGATGTACGCGGTGCTTTCGATAATGTCAAAATTGATATTTTACTTAATAAATTAGCATCAATCGGCTGCCCAGAGAAACTCCTAATATTTATTAAATTTATCACTTACGAAAGGCTAATATATTCAGATTCATGCCCCAACAACCCCAGACTTGCCACTAAAGGTGTTCCTCAAGGCGGAGTCTTAAGTCCGCTACTTTACATTCTTTATGTTAGTAGTATAACAGAAAACTTGCAAAAAAGCGTTGAAGTGTCACAATTCGCAGACGACATCGCGATCTACATCAAATTCACCTCGCTAAAAAGAGCCAAGAGCATAATTCAAAAAGCAATCCAAATTATTGAAAACAATCTCAAAAAGCTAGGATTAGAGCTTGCGCCAGAAAAAACTGATCTTATTCATTTCAACAACACCAACATTCTTCCTGGAGAAACAATAATTAAAGTTGGTCCTAACACCATAAAATCAAGTGAATCAGTTCGCTTCTTAGGAATTATTTTCGATTACAAGCTTTCATTTTTCCGACAAATTGATTCAGTTCACAAACGATGTTCCAAAGCACTCAACATTACTAAGTTCCTCTGTGGAACTTGGTGGGTAGCCGATCCCACCACGCTCCTCACCTTCTATAAAAGTTTTGCAAGGTCTATAATCGACTTCGGGTCCTTCATTTATTTTCCTTCTCGTAAAAGCGCTGTTGATAAACTCGAAAAACTTCAGTTTAGTGCATTGAGAAAAGCTCTCGGTCTTCGCGTGAGTACTCCAAAAAATATACTAATAGCTGAGTCTAAGATATCTCTCCTTGAACACCGAGCATTTTACCTTTCCAACTGCTTCTTGGCTAAAACATTTTCTTGTCATGATTCACAGACCTTTAAATCAGTGAAACGCTTTTACTATATAAATAAAAAACACTCCAAAAAACCCCAAAAAATCATCAGTCAAAGTATTATCAACTCAATGGAACTAATGGGCAAAATAATTAATAAAGGAAAGACGCACTTGTATTGTCACAACTTTCGTGATCAAATTATTAACATCTCTGTGAATATTGAATTTGGCGAAAAACTGAAACATTCCTCCGACCCAAATAAACAAGTAGCTGATTTTATACGAGAAAATAGCGCCTTAGCGCTGTACACAGTTGGCTGTAAAACCTCTCACAGCGTAGGAACCGCATGCGTTGCACTGGAAAATCATTTCGAAGTGAAAAGAAGAATTAACTCTCTATCATCGGTGTATACTGCCGAGTGTATAGCGTTGAGCGATGCGCTTGATGTAACCGCAAATAGCGAGCATAGTAACATTTTCATTTTTTCTGATTCGCTCAGTGCTCTCACTTCTCTCGCGTCAAAAAAACTCAGTGTAAAAACTAATCCGTACATTCTCGAAATAAAAACTAAGCTAACGAATCTCTATCTAACTCAACGTCACAAGTCTACAAACTTTTTCTGGATTCCGTCACACCGAGGCATTGAAGGTAATGAAATTGCCGACAGCGTAGCAAAAGCGGCCACTGAATGCGAACTTACTGATGTAGGAGAAGTTCCTTTTACAGACTGTTTCGAAAGATTCAAATTAACTTGCAAAAATCAAACTAAAGAAGTAATAATAAACCAAGCAAGCTCGACTGGCAAAAATTTTTTTAAAAACTTCTACAAGGAAGCGAAATCCCCTTGGTTCAGTAAATTCAAACTAAAAAGGGAACTCATCGTCACAGTCAATCGCATCAGAAGTGACCATTACAGTTTAGCAGCATCACTTTACAAAATAAAGGTTGTAGATAGCCCATTATGTAAATGTAATCAAAATCCGGAAGATATCAATCACATTCTCTGGCAATGTAATTTATACAACTCCCAAAGATTGTCCCTTCTGGCTAATCTCAAAAAGTTGCAGTATCAACTACCCTTAAATATAGAGTCCATTGTCGCGAACCCTGATGTCAATGCGTGCGAACATATACTTTCCTTTTTAAAAAAATGTAATATTAACATTTAAAACCAGCAAAATGTAAAATCCCGCGAGATTTATGTATAAATCATAACAAAGTTTGTATACATCATAACGAACCCTGTACATACTAAGCGAAAATAATGTAAAATGTTCTGTATATAACACTTATAGTATAGCTGTAATAAACTGCATCGCAGTTGATAAAGCTCAATAAAAAAAAAAAAAAAAAAAAATCGCAATTGAAATTCACAACGTCATTCAAAAATTACTGAAAACATTCCACATAAGTGCGGTTGTAGAAAGTATACCTATATTAAACGATGCAGAGAAGCAGCTACACGATTATGTTGAAGATATATTGAGAAAAAGCTTTGAAACGAATTCAGGTATTGAATGTGAGACAAGTGAGAACTTATGTTCCCTGAATGATAATTTTGATATTAATCCAGAAGTAATTGACGATCAATTTGAAGAAATACATGATATAGACTATGCCGAGGTACCTACTTGTACGGTAACAAATACGGTACTGGACGATGGATATAAAAGAAAAGCTGTTGAATACTGGGAAAGTGGTAAGAAAAAGATACTGTCTTTAAGTTCCGTCCAGAGTAAATATAAACAAGTTTCATCAGAACGTCAGTTGAGAACATGGAAACAGCAAATTTTGACAGGCGGGACTAAAAGAGAGAATCTGTTTGAAGTTTCAGAATATACTTTACAACAACTCAAAGATGCTTTAGATTAGAAGTTGACAGTAACATGATTTAGATCATAAAAAATGGGCTTTACAATAAAAGTATGAGTTAGATATGCCGTGGTTTAAAGCTTCCCCCAATTGAATATTACTATTCAAAAAAAGCATAAAATTGTATCCCGTAAAATAACTAAGTATGTGACTAAAGTATCTGTTGAAAATGAGACTAGTTTAAAGTTAGATTGTCAAAATTTTATCAACCTCATAAAAACAGAATTATCAACCAAAATTGCAAGTAACATATATAATTCCGATCAAAGTAGATTCAATTTAGAAATGCATACTGGCAGAACATTGAGCGAAAAAGGTAAGAAGACAGTCGAATCAGTAGTACAATCAGTATCATCGACTACGTATAGTTATACGATTTAAGCGACAATATCTGCAGAAGCTACATTGCTATCATATATTGCTTTATGGTATTAAAAGAAACAAACAGAGAGTTTGGACCCATTGTTTAAAAAAAAATATTTAATGCACCTAATATATTTTTGCGAGCAAGTGCATCAGGAAAGCTGTCGAGTGGATTACTTCAAACATGGTTGCAACGTGTATTTTTTCCTAACTGTGGGATAACAGCAGTTTTATTACTAGACATATGGAGTGGACAGTCTGAACGAACTCTAAGAGAAGTGACACCAGCAGATACAAATTTTCGATTGATGTCAATTCCTAAGGGTACGACAGGCAAAATTCAACCACTTAATGAATTCAGTTTTCGATTTTAGAAAAACTTTTTAAGAATAATATCTGTTGCCATTATTTTATTCGGATCAGACGTCAGTTTACATGAGAGGAATAATTTTATAAAATTACAGTCTATCACACATAATCAATTATATTCACCTAGATTCAAAAGCGTATTTGAATATGCTTGGTACAAAAGTGGGTACTTGGATAAAAAACCTGATTCGTTCGACAATCCTCTTGAATATTGCTTCGAAATTTCAGAACAGTCTATCTTTTGTGAGAAAATAGCAATTATAAAATGTGCATGGTGCAAGAACATAATATGTCTACAGCATTTATTTAAAGAGTATCATTATTGTTCACAATATGTACAGTGATAATGAGCGTGGATCGTTTTTTTATATTCAAAAAATGTAGATGGCAGGGTAACCAGCTCGAGGGTTAAGGAAGTTGAGGATAAAAGTTTGGGGTTACAGCGTGGCAGGGTAACCAGCTCGAGGGTTGATGAAATTGGGGTTAAGAGTTTGTTGTTACAGCGTGGCAGGGTAACCAGCTCGAGGATTGATGAAAATCGGGTGTAGGAGTTTGGGGTTAGAGCGTGGCAGGGTAACCAGCTCGAGGATTTATAAAATTGGGGGTAGGATTTCGGGGTTAGAGCGTAGCAGGGTAACCAGCTCGAGGGTTAAGGAAATTGGGGTTAAGAGTTTGGGGTTACAGCGTGGCAGGGTAACCAGCTCGAGGATTGATGAAAATCCGGTGTAGGAGTTCGGGGTTAGAGCGTGGCAGGGTAACCAGCTCGAGGATTTATGAAATTGGGGTATAGGATTTCGAGGTTAGAGCGTAGCAGGGTAACCAGCTCGAGGGTTAAGGAAATTGGGGTTAAGAGTTTGGGGTTACAGCGTGGCAGGGTAACCAGCTCGAGGATTGATGAAAATCCGGTGTAGGAGTTCGGGGTTAGAGCGTGGCAGGGTAACCAGCTCGAGGATTTATGAAATTGGGGTATAGGATTTCGAGGTTAGAGCGTAGCAGGGTAACCAGCTCGAGGGTTAAGGAAATTGGGGTTAAGAGTTTGGGGTTACAGCGTGGCAGGGTAACCAGCTCGAGGATTAAGGAAATTGGGGTTATGAGTTTGGGGTTACAGCATGGCAGGGTAACCAGCTCGAGGATTGATGAAAATCGGGTGTAGGAGTTCGAGGTTAGAGCGTGATAGGGTAACTAGCTCGAGGATTTATGAAATTGGGGTGTAGGATTTCGGGGTTAGAGCGTAGCAGGGTAACCAGCTCGAGGGTTAAGGAAATTGGGGTTAAGAGTTTGGGGTTACAGCGTGGCAGGGTAACCAGCTCGAGGGTTGATGAAATTGGGGTGTAGGAGTAACGGGTTATAGTGTAGCAGGGTAACTAGCTCGAGGTTTAAGGAAATTAGGTTCGGGGTGGTAGGGGATCAGAGCAACAAATGAATACTCTGTTTACTCTCCAATGAAGGGGTAACAGCCCCTGGTGACGGATACTGTATACTTTTGTGTTAGATTTTGAACGGAATTTCATAAACTTCATTTCTTCTGAAAAAATTTTGCAAGAAAATATTTGAAAACATAGCTTTTCTTTCAGGCGACTTAGGGGGTTGCAACCCCTGTAGACGAAATCCATATATTGAGCTGAAATTTTTTAAAAGAATTTTTTAGAGTTTGTTTCTGTGCATGAAATACGAAAATTTCGCTATAAAATGGTGTTAAGGGGTAACTTTCAGGGGTAGCTTTCACCCTCTAAATAGTTTATTCGGCAGAACAAAAGTGTATATGTGCTTGGCTTTTTTTAACGTCATAGAACATGAAATAACCAGCACAATCTGTGATTAACAACTGCTTATATTTTATTAATAACATTAAGGGGTAGGTCACCCTCGAAATAATAGATAATAGGAAAACCCCGAAACACGTCAATTTTGTTTTATCATTTTCTCCTGGAATATCATTTTTTAAATTTTTTGATTTTGTAATGTAAAAATACACTTAAAAATACAATTTTTCCTCTATACAACGTAGGCGTTGCAATCCCCGGGGCTAAATTGATATGTGTCTGTTACTTTTTTTATAAGTATTTTATGTTTTTTTTTTTTTATAAAAAAAATATTCATTACAACAAGTTGTTTCATTATTCATTACAACAAAAAAATATTCATTACAAGATATTGCTAAAAACTTCTTTTGGGGCTATTTTTTGGGGGTGGGTTTCATCCCTTAGATAGTTTTTTTCCGCCGATAAAAAAAAAATACTGGTCTTTTACTTTTTTACGAACTATAACATATCTCAATTGCAGAAAAATCGGAGGCGGAGGGTTTGGGTGGTTCCCTACTTAGTCCTAAGACACTACCAATTCACTTTGAACCTTACGTCTAAATATCATTTGGCGTAGACGTAACGATGGGGGGGGGGGTCCGAGCTTAGGTAATTAGGACTACAGTTAACATAATAGAAAAATACTAACAAAACAAACCAGCAAACCAACCAAGCAATCATACGCGAAATTATTGCACGTAAAATATCTGAAATTGAAAAAATGTTTACGCAGAATAGAGTACCATCGATATTAGAATGTATTACATATTTATAAAATAGATTTACACCTACCATAGAAAAAGGATAACGCGCTTAGAAGAACTGCAATGAGTAAAATTTAATTTACAAGACTATATGAACACAGAACCACTCAACAAAATCTGCATGGGCGATTTAATATTTGATATTTTAATCAAGCTTACATTAGAAAAATCTGAATTCTACAAATTTACTGCAAGCTATCGTAGACAAAAAAACAAGAAGAAAAAAATTAGAATCTACAGAAAGTCCAACACTCGAATTAGTTAGCGTGGAAACCGACAGCAAAACCCTGTACGAATCCATTATTGCTGACAACAATGAAACCTTTCCTCCGATGGACATCCCCCAGCTTGCTCAAAATAATATTTCCGAAAACACACAACCTACACTTAGCAATAAAAATCCAAATGACCAGAGTACACACTGGGAAATTCCACCGAAAAATAATACACGTTACGTAATCGCACCTAAAATATTATAATTTACTAACACACCTACTGCCGCATATTACACACCAAACACGTATCCAGCAACAATATTAAATACATCAGAGAGTAATGTAGTATCATCAATAAAAAATTTCAGCCTTAAAGATCTAATCACAGTTGTACCAAAATTCAATAGATTTAATATACCGTTACATCAATTTATAGACAGTTGTCGCGAAGCACGTAGCATAGTGCCCGAAGTAAACGAAGTTACCCTAGCTAAAATTTAAAAAATACGCCTAAATGACGAAGCATTAAAAAGCGTGCAGGAAAAAAACTTTATGAACATCAAACACTTCATAAAATGTTTAAATTTAATATTCGAATCCGCAAAAACTATCAGGCGAATTAGCTACTTTATAACAAAAACGCGGCAAAAATCTAGTAACAGTTTCAGCCAAAGTAAAAACAGTAGCTGGCGAATCATATGAAGCGGCAATCAAAAAAAATCATAACCACTATGAATTTATGGTACATTTAGAAAAAGATAATGTAAAATTTTCCATCCGTGTG